AGGGCATGGAGCTTGAAGAGTTATCCTTGGGCTTATTGCCCCACACCCTTTCATCAGTCCTAGCTCATGCAGGAAACATTGGTAATATACACAAATAGGTTTTTGAGCATCATACTAAATATATAGTTCTGCACACGTATTTGAATAGAAGAATGGGATGAGCATTGTAAATCCAGTCTACCACAACAATTTATTTAAGAGACAGGCCAATTAAACATCATAGGATATTTTGAGGGTTTTTAGAAACCCGTTTTCTTTAATTATATTACTAATAATACTTTAGCTCAGGTGTGGGCAAACTGCTGCCCGTGGGTCGCATCTGGCCCATCAGACCATTTAATCCAGCCCTCAGCTCCCGCCAGAGAGCGGGGTCGGGGGTTTGCCCTGCTCTGTTGCTTCAGCCTGGGAGTGGCGTCGAGGGCTTTTCCCGCTCCACACGGCTCCCAGGAAGCAGCTGGCATGATCTCCCCCCGCTGGCTCATATGTAGTACATGGAGGTGTGGTCAGGCGCTGCCCCCGCAGCTCCTATTGGTTGCGGTTCCTGGCCAATGGGAGCTGCAGGGCTGGTGCGTGCAGATGGGGCAGCGCGCCGAGCCGCCTGGCTGCTCCTAGAAGCTGGAGTGGGGACATGCTTCCAGGAGCTGCTCGTGGTAAGCGCTGCCTGGAGTCTGCACCCCTGAGCCCCCACCACGCCCTGCCACAGCCCTGATCCCTCTCCCACCCTATGAACCCCTCATCCACAGCCCTACCCCAGAGCCCGTTCCCCCAGCTGGAGCCCTCACACCCCTCCCATACCTGATCCCCCTCCTGCCCTCCGAACACCTCGGTCCCAGCCTGGAGCCCACACCCACTCCCATACCCCAACCCGGAGCCCCCTCCTGCACCCTGAACTTCTTTTCTGATACCACTCTGGAGCCCTCACCCCCTCCTACACCTCTACCCCCAATTTCGTGAGCGTTCATGGCTTGCCATACAATTTCCATATGCCGATGTGGCCTTCAGGCCAAAAAGTTTGCCCACCCCTGCTTTAGATAATTAAGGGATTTTTAATAATGAAATTTATTTTAAACTACTTATTCTACAACGGATCCTCGCTAGAGCGCACATCGCTAGAATGCAGATTCACATCTAGTACAGTCTTGGTGAAGGATCCCAAATTTAAATATTTAAATTGGGATCCTTGGTAACACGGCCCCTGCTATAATGCGGTCCCTGCGTTAATGCAGCACCGCACATGGATCCCGAACCCCGCGTTCTAGTGAGGGTCCAGTGTATTTCCTTTTCATTTTGGTTGGACAGCAAAGGTAAACTAATCAGTTTCACTTTCATGTCCTGACAGACTGTCATAATTATAGCCCTACCAAATTCAGGATCCATTTTGGTCAATTTCTCAGTCATAGGATTTTAAAATAGTTTCACGGTTTCAGGTGTTTACATCTGAAATTTCATGGTGTTATAGCCATGGGGGTCCTGACCCAAAAGGGGTTCATTGCGGTCACAAAGCTATTGTAGGAGAAGTCACAGGATTGGCACCAGCTCTGAAGGCAGTGCAGAAAAAGGCAGCACAGTTGCGGAGCTTCATGTAGCTGGGGCAGGTTCCCGAAGGTAGGTCTGACCTGGCCCTGGGAGTGGTCCCTGCAGGGGAAGAGGAAGTCCCCCAGCCTGGCCAGGACTAGAAGCCGGAGCTTGGCACAAAGTAGGAGCCACTGGCTGGGGTGCCCCCAGCAACACAGGGGAGATCAGAACCACCTCTTCTACACTAGCCAGATATCACAGGGGAGATCAGATTTCATGGTCCATGATGCATTTTGCGCAACCATGAATTTGGTAGGGCCCTAGTCAGAATATGGCAGTACTTGGATTGTAGTTAGTGCAGGGGATGTTTGTTTATAAATCTTTCTTCCTTGTCATTTAGAAAACTTGTTTTGAAACATTTCGCTTGATCTAGCTTTTTATAGCAATATGCTTTTATAAAACTTAAGTATTGTGCCAGAATTGACCTTAGTGCCATGATATAGAATACCGCACAAAAGTCCTTGCAGAGTCTTTCCTACAAAATGCTGAAAAGATTAATGTAATGTTAATTCCTGTAATCTGCTATGCACAGTTCTAATTGTGCATTAATGAACAACAGTTAGTCTTTCTGTTTTTCATCTAAGCTCATGTTTTAAATGAATTTTTACGGCAGTGCTTAATCCCATTAAAACGCAAAAACATTTAAATGCTTGGATGGATTTAATAATTATTGATAAGATTCAAAATCATGAGTTAGGCTTTAAAATGTGGATTTGGCTTAAAAATCACATTTAAACACACAATTTGGGTTCTTTTTATTTGCCTTCTGTCTTTTGAGCCTTTACAGTTCATATTTTCAACCTTTTCTCCACAACTCTGAAGGCTAGAAACTTTTTTCTTAATAGAACCTAAGATTCTTACTTAGTAACATGACTCCAGGGTCTTTAAGAAAACACAAGTCGTGTTGTAATTGGTGTGTGTTTGTTTTGTTTTTAAAGGGAGTTGACATCACTATAGTTTTTCAGTATACCATCTATGCAGAGTTTTCGCTCCTGTAGCCTAGCTTCTTAGTGAGAAACTAGAGGAACTTGTCCAATTAGCCAGAGTGGGGTAGGGTTCAAACCAGGCTTCCCTACTGGCCATTGTGCATCATCTCCTCCAGAGTGTAAATGCTTCCCAGAGAATGTTCCATTGCTTAGATAATCAAGAGCCAGTTTCCTAGTGGCCCATCTTTGTCCTGTTTCGTCCTGCAATTAAGGTGGGTAGAATTTGACATTAGTTACTTTTTGATGGAATTAGGTGATCATTCAAATTAATGCTTTTTGAATTTCCAGCATATGACCCTCCCTAATAGCATCTGTTAAAAATAGTTTAATTCACTCATTTAAGTTAAAATTCTTACTTTATAGATGGTTTATAAACTTGATGTGTAATGAATGTTGTTCTCCATTTTTTTGTTTCACTTCTCTAACAATAAGCCAGATATGACAGTTCTGTCACATTACTTGTGTTCCTATTTTGAAATGTTATCTTTATTTCAGAATAAATATTTAAACAAGGCAAAGCATAGATTCCTCATTCAGGGTTATGTCAATGCTAGGTTTGAAATTCAGTAGCAGTCAGTTTTCAGTTATCTAAGAGGAGAAACAACAAGAGTAGAAACCTTTCTTTTTCTATTGCCATAACTGCTGGATAAATTCTGGAACTTTCTAAATACATTTTCTCTTTTGGGTGGAGATCAAGCATGAGAGAGTACTTACTTTTAATTTTCCTTTTTTTAAAAAAAAGGCATTTTTAGAATAGATGTCATCTTAGCCATATAACTGTATTATTGCTACTGAACTGCCATAATCCCACATTTGAGTGCATTTGAAGCTAACTACCAAGTAATTTCAGCTACTTTAGGGATTTTTGTGGTGCTGACTTTTATCTTTGAGTAATAAACACTAAAATGTGCCTCCACACCCGCCAGCACTGCAACTCTGAAAGTTTAAAACAATAAAGACAGTACCTTGGGGGATGAGATGAGAAATTGAAATTGCTTTGGGGATTTACTTACGTTTGAAAAGAGAATGTATTTGAAAGCAAGCAAAAAAAAAAGTGTTTTTGGTTTAAAAAAAAAAATTGAAAATGTAGGCCTGTATGCCAGTGTTCATTAATCTGAAATCCATGAGTAAAGTTGCCTTTTGTTGCGTGAGTGGAAAAAACAAGTGCTTCTTTAAAATGGTAAAATGATAGATAATATGGAAACATTAAATTTAATAAACACGTTTTAGTGGCCAGTATAATCAAACAATGTTCTTTCTGCAATCTGCTAGAAATGTTTTGGTACATTCCCCTAGAGGGAAAAACAAAATTTCCACTTGCTTTTAAAGCATGTTTAGGGCTTCACTGAAAAATTCCAAGAATCCAAAAGTAATTTGTTTGTAACTTGTTCCAAAGCTCAACACATTTCAATAAAATGAACCTATCTGCTGTACTGAAGGGGTTTTTGGTTTTGTTATTTTGTTTTTAACTAATTTTGCTACAGCATGCTGTACAGAAGCAGTTTATTAGGTTTTAATTTCCTACAGTTAGCCTTTAACAGTCAACATAATGAGAAAATGATCTTTCACCATTTTCACGGTGGACTCGTGCGCATAAACTAATGCCAGTATTTGCCAGATTTGGGAAATATTCTGTGCTAGCCTTGTGAAAGTCCGTGTTATCTTCTTCAGTTCAGTCCAACTCAGATATCCTCTTTAATTTCTCACATGTGCATTCTAAACTGTGTCTTCAAAAGGATATTAGCCTGAGACTACCCAAAAGCACCTAAGTCCCACTTGCCTCCTGCACTGTCTTTTCTATGTCTGTGAGATCAATTTGCCAATTACATCCACCTCTCGGGCTTTTCTGTCCCTATATGCAGTAAGCAAAAAGCTGGTGAAAGTTTGAATTTCATGTTTTCTGCTGATCTTATTTTTTTCATGTCCAACATCCAAGTTTTGCATTTTCCATTAAATTTGCGACCATGATGAAAATATTACAGCCTGGTTTCATGAGTTACCCTTCAACTTGTCACATAAAACATAGATCACACCTGTTGATACTCATTGTATTAACATTCTCTGAGCTGCTTAGGAAAGCCTCACTTTTACATTCCCCCACAACTTTTCCCCTTCCAAAGAAACGAATGGATTTTGATTTAATTTATGGCCTCATCCTGAGGTGTCCCGAGTACTTGGGAATTGGCATCTTTCAGGATCATGTCCTGAATGACTGTACAGGGCTGTCATAATTGCTAAGTGAGAGCATGTTTGTTACAGACTACGTAAGTGTGATAACTCAGTGATTCTTTGGTTTAATATCTCTGCTTCCTAAAATATAAAATGTTCAGTATTTGGAAGATGGAATCTTATTCTTTAACGTTTTTATGAATCATACAGAATGCTAAAACAGATGTCTTTATTTAAAAAAACCACCCTTTTTCCCCCCTCTTACTACAGGATAATGAAAAGAGGACCCCTTTACATGCTGCTGCCTATCTGGGAGATGCAGAAATTATTGAACTACTTATTTTATCTGGTATGTTCTGTTCATGTTAATGAAAAAAATTCTGTGCACAGATACATTAAATGTACTTTTAGTTTGCATAATTTTATCAGGCTATTTAATGTGCTAAGAATTCAATTGAAATTTGGGGATTTTTGTACTTAAACTTTTGTTTACAGACTCCTTAATTCAAACCACTTTTTTAATAATTTTCAGTTATTATAAAAAGTACCTACCAGTGTTAAACTTTCTCAGTGATGTTTGCTATTTATTAGTAGTTTATGACCAAATTCAGTTGCTTCAAAAGTCTGTACTTAATTGTATTTAAAGCAGTGTACTTAATATCTAAATGTTAGCACATATTTTTTACTATAGTGAATTTAGAAAAATGACTATGTTAACATTGAAAATGGCATTTAAAAGTGCTGATATTTCTTCAGATTAAGAACAACATTATTTTTCTAGTTATCTTTTGCTAACTTATATATACACAAGATTTTTAGGACCTGATAAGAATGAAATAAGAATTTAAAAATCATTTTTCATATTTACTTCTTCACTTGCAATACAGAATGCAATGAGTGAGGCAGTATGTTCTAGTGGTTAAAACACAAGACAGAGAAGACAGATCAGAGTTACTATTCCAGCTCTGTAACTGATTTGCTGTCACCTTGAACAAGTCCTTAATAATCTCTGTGTGTTACACCTCACCATGGTGGTTTTGAGGCTTTATTCATGATTGTAAAGTGCTTTGAGACCCCTCAGTGGAAGAAATTGCAGAATTATAAAATACAGTAGAATCTCTTTAATCTGCACTTCACTAAACATATCTTATCTGCTCAAAAACTTCAGATCTGTTCCCACATCTCAGCTTTAAAAGTAATAGAATTTACTTTAGTGAGGTGTGTTATAGGAGAGTTGGTAGCACTTCCCATTTTAAGATCCTATTTTCTGTTGCTTATAATTTTGCAGAACTTCAATCATTTTGATTGAAAACTTCCATGCTAAATGTCTGCCTGAGGCTGATTTTTTGGGAAACTTTCAGCCAAAATGGTTTAGCTATTTGAGACCAAGATTAGAGAAAAGTATGCCCAAGTTAAAAATTGGTGACTTTTTCTTTGAGAAGCTTGAATGTACCCCAAGCTTGTCCACCCCTGGTTCCTAGTACATTTGTATCTGTCAGGGTTGTGCCTTTTGCCATCCCTGTGAAAAATTTGGCCAAGTTATAAGCCTTTCAGAAACCAGAGTTCACACATGCTCAGCAGAGACTTGGTAGAGCTTCGCAGTTCCCTGAAGATTCCATCCAAAATGGGTATGTTCCAGCCCAGGGCTGCCAGAGCTCAGTAGGACTTTCCTTGCAATTTCAGTTTCCAGCTGCTCGGGGCCATGCCAGGTCCAGGCACCAGAACTGAGAGCAGCCAGCCTATTTCTCAGCTCTCTGTGCTCTCCTGCTGAGTGCAAGTAGCATGAAGAAGGAAGCTGCATTATTTGAATGCAAAAGGAAAAAGAACCTGACCTGGAGGGCTGGATATGGGGAGTAGATTGGGACAGGGAGCCTGGTGCCAGGGTCTATCTCAGACTGGCTTGATAAGGAGATTTGTACTGGGAGACGGTGGGAAACGGAGGTGGGTGGGTGGGGAGCAGACTGAGAGCCAGTGGATGGAGGGAAGACTGAGACTGGATAAGGAGGTGAAAGGGACAACTGGGACTGGCTGGGAAAAGAGCTGAGGGAGTGACATGGGACATCAAGATTAGATGGAGAGCTCTGAGAAGGAGATGGAAACTGGGGGGCGATGGGGCTACAATTGGAGACCAGAGGGAAGACAAATCAGAGAAGGAGGTGAGGGGGAACTGGGAATGGCTAGGTAAGGAAATTGGTAGTAGGATAAAATGCCTGAGTGGAGAATAGGACTTGGATGAGGAGACAGTTGAGAGAGAGACAGAACTGAGGCAGGGACAGGTTGGAGGGGATGAGCAGAAGGGGTCAGTCTTGTGGGAATGGGCAGAAAAGTCTGGGTCCTCTAGTACCCGTTGCCCTCCAGAGCCTGGCCTGGAGCCCAAGGTTCCTGAGTCTCGCCATTCCTCTGCTGTCAGCAAATATCTGTGAAACTCTTGGTAAAGTATCTTATCTGACTCTAATGTTGGTCCATGTAGAGGATGACAATTTACTATTGTTATCAGTTACTCTGCTAAAGTTACTTCCAACCTTGCTAATGATCCATGTGGGTGTCAATATGATGACACATGATGGATTTTCTATTTTTTTCAGTTTGCTTTTTTTAAAACCCAGCAAATTACATGCACAAATTATGGTAAAAGAACATTATTAGGCTTGCAAAGTGAAGCACTTGAAAGATAGGAAATGTGTAGGCAACCTTAATTCTGGCATCTGTAATTTGGCCCTATTGTGCATCTGCATTATGATTCAGCCTTTAATTACATGCCACATACTGTTCTTTCCCACTGGACCTGTGCTTCCTTCGGTGCCCAGGATGGACCTGCTCTGAGGATTGACCAGGGTGGTGTAGTGAAGGATACTGTAGTCTATAGAATGCCTTTTTTTTGCAGAAGTTGGAAGGTTTAATAGTGAATGAGGCAGGGGATTGCAGGAAGAGATAGGAGGGTCTGGTTAAGGCAGTTGAATGCTGTCCTGGGGAAATTAAGCCTATCTCTGTGTCTGTGTGATGATAGGGAAGTTGCTTAAAAATCTAACCTTTTCACAAGAGGTCAGTAATTCCTCATTTCATGGGTGTCTGTCTTAAGAACCTGCAGTTTGACTTGCGGAAATGCTGAGGACTCTCAGCTGCAACTGAAATCACTGCGTGCTATACAGTATAATAAGACTCTGAAAAACCATGTTGTAGGTGTGTCAAATTGGGCACCCAAAATCAGTGGATACTTTAGACCTTAATATGTCTGTGCCTCAGTTCTCAGTCTGTAAAACAAGGATTATTAACTTCCGCTGTATGGGGGTATTGTGAAAATACATTAATGTTTGTGAAACTCTCACATAATGTAATGATGAGCGCCATAGAAAAGCCCATGAGGAAAGTATTAATTCTGTCTTCAGAGCATGGTTTGAGTAGTGTGCAGTAAATAAGGCCTAGAGTGGTAGATTCAACAGTGAGGAGAAAACAAAATATTGAATAGCTGCTCGTTAAGTGAGCGGTGTCTATTCTGAATGAAGGAGTCCTGTGGAAAAAATACTATGTGATGTAATTAAAGACTGTATAATAATGCATATGCACAAGGGGGCTGAATAAAGATTCTATACACAACCTTAATTCTTTCATTTTCTAACTTTTGAGTCCTTTACTTTGTAACCTTTATATTTATTACACATCAATAAATACTCTGTAGTACATTTTGAAGTTCTATAAATTAAAAACCAATCTACAATTATCATACTATATGAACAAATTAAATTGCAAGGAATTTTCCTTGCTTTGCTCTTGTTTCTCTTCAAGCCTGGTCTAAAGCCCATTTAAATCAATGGGAGTCTTTCCACTGATATCAGTGGGCATTGGATCAGATCCTTACTTGTTGGTTTCCCAATCCTGCCATCAGTTAAAGCATACATGTAACTACATAGAAGTAGTTTTATTAAGTTCAGTGGGACTATACGCTTCCGTAACTGTTTTTTGGATTGAAGCCTAACCCATAACATTTTTTAATTAAATGAGTTTTCTAGTTCTTAGTGTAAATTATATAGGCTACACTGTCACATTATGTGTTAGATGCTGCAAAAGTATGGTATTATTAAATTCCTTTACTTCCTTCCCACCCACCCCCCAAAAAAACAACCAAAAACAAGCGCACCACATACACCACAAAAACACTAAAATGTCTTAAAAAAAAAAAAATCCTTGGCGTGAAAAAACTTTTTTAGAAAACAGTTGGTTTTGGAAAGTGTGATTTTTTTTTTCCCTCACTTGTTGGTATAATTTGAGATTTTTTTCTGTGCCAGATTTCTCGAAGTGTAAGTATGTTACAAGACCCATATTGTTCATTCTCAGTGCATAACTGAGACTTCATGCTCAAAGTTTCATGCTTTTAGCATTAATATACATGTCTTGAGCATTCTGCATTTGGGTGTTGAACACTAGGACACTTGTTCTGAGTAAACCTCTGCCTGCAATCTTTGTTGCTGCTGCGGCTTGTCTTGGTTTCCAAGCCTGTAGGACAGGAGGGGCCTGAAACTGACAAAGTCGGATACAAATTTCCGGCAGAGGAAGGATATTCCTCCCATGACTTCCAGCTCATTTCCTTTTCCTTTTGAAACAATACCTCTCAGAACTCTTGAAAGTAAGCTAGTCCCTGAAGGATTCACCCACTTTGTCATCAGATAAACTGCCTACCTGCTGATGAACATGTCATAATCATCAGTTTTTTTTTAGACCAAATAGAATTTAACTAACATCTCTAGCAAACATCTGTAAATTTGCAGAGGGGCTGGGTAGGTGAAACAGCAACAAAACATTAAAGGCACTTGGTGGTTTCATCACATTACAACCAAGAATGTCAGGCGTTGGACCAACCAGCGTCCAGTGTCTTCCCAACTGACTCAACACTGCACCGCGTGCCAGAGTCCATACCAGCCTGCCTGCTTTATGTATTTGCTCCAACAAAAGCTGGTTGGAGAAGACCTCGCAGACGCTGGAGGGATGTCAGGGCTTCCAACTTCATACGTTTCAGCCTTAACATAGATTAGGTTAGAACACTGGTGGGAGACAGGGCTCCCTGGAAATGGGTGATTGGAAGTATCCACTGTATTCTCCATGAAAAGGAGAGTTAATGAATGGGTAGGTGAAGAGATCTATTATGAATAATCTTAATAAGAATTCATTGAGAATCTTCTGCATATTCCCACTCATGGGCTACACTGGCTGGTGCAACTTAAAGTCATAGAACTTAAAGTTGGAAGGGATCACCAAATCAGACAGTGGAACCTTCTTGTGGCATTGAAGTGCTTGCATGCCCTTCTGACTGCTCCCCTCAGAGTTCCTGAATATTCTGAGAGATGAGGCTGTAAA